GTTTTAAATTAAGACTACACTAAAATGGCCAATACTTTGAAAATAATTTGAGTTTTGAAAAATTCTTTTAGGAAGATGTGTTAAAAAATCTAAACTACCTAAATAACGGTTTAAATAACGGAAACGAACAGGGATTTAGTACTATCAGCGCAACAGCATTATAAATAAATGTTTAGAAAATATTTTAAATGATGACAACAACAACGAATATTTCAAATTATGTTATATCAGCTGATAATATTTATATCTCATATAACGGAATTTTTCATGACGACATCTCTAACATATATTAGCAAAAACGAAATATTAGCAGAGAGGACCTCATTTGGATGAATTCACGAATTAGAATGGGCCTGTACAGAAGTGAAGGCAAAAATCAAACTGAAAACTCTAATTCAGAAAAAAAAGAAATCATTAACATCGACCCATACCTTCCCCGAACCCTTTCAAAAGAAATTAGGTAATTTCCTTTTTTACTATAAATTGCCAATTTATAATATCGGTAAATATATGAGAGATATCAAGAATATCAAGTGAGAGTGGCCACATTATTTATTTTCGACCAAGTCCCAAAAATAATTTTATACTCAAATCTGTCTAAATTTAGTTCATCCTTATTTACTATTGGTTCGATGCCTTCCACTTTCTTTGTGGTTAGCTTGCGGTTATTAAGGTTTGCGGCTAACGCCCTTTCTTTCTTACGCATTTCACCACTTCGCTGTGTGTTTCACTAAAATAAACGAGCAATATTTCTTCATCAGACTATTCGCGTGATTTGAGCTATACTTCCCAAAGTACCCACACCCACGCAGTACACAAGCATCTCTTCAATTTGTGCTTGTTTGTTGAAAAAAGTATTTATTTTTGTAATACTTGAGAGACAAGTTTTATTAATCTTGTATTTTTGCAAACTTTTTCTATACTATTATGATTGATGATTATTTCATAAGGTCATCAAAATTGCATGAGCATTAATTGTTACGCAATGGAAGCATAATGAATTTAAGCACAAATGCCTCGTCTGGTTTTGTTGGTGTGTGAGAAAAATCTAGTGATTCTTGTAATTAATATTGCTTGCTATATCTAATATTAATACTAATATGATACAGCCACGCAAGCAAAAGTTGCACAAAAACACTTTGACATCCATTACACGCTTATAACTACAGTTAGTGAAAGCTTTGGCAAAACAGGAGCATATAAATAAGCTTGGAATGTGTTTCGTGAAAATTATGTCACTGATGTTAGAAACATAAAATGTTAATGAATAAATCTCGGTTTATAGACAATAGTGTAAAAAGCTGGAATCTGCTCGCGATAGGGATTAGGCATGAAATATCTTAGTTTCTCGATTAAATCCCATATTACATTATAATTAAACCTTTATAATTTAAAGTTTTCAATAATTGCTCTTAAAAAACTCGTATCGAGCTTACAGTTTAAGTTGGTCTACAGATTATACTTTTGTGAAATTAGAATTTTCTTTGTTTATAATTTTATTTATCATTAAGTTCGTGGTTCCAAGAAGGAGTTTCGAGTTTCCCATCGCCTTAAGCGGTGCACCTAAAGTGATATTTAAAAATTAATACTTTGATAGATTAAAGGTATAAAATCGTCTAAACTTTTAAATCGATATCTCAAATAATTTTTAAGTAACATCCTTTTAAAGTGTGGCCGCTCGGATCTATCAGCTCTTTCAGTAATATCTTTAGATGAGTTTTATTTTAATCTACCTTTTTTAAATTTGCTGCAGTGGTTACTCGGGGAAAAATTCTCCGATCGCTATTGCACTTTTATACTCTTGCAACATGTTTCTACAGAGTATAATAATTTGTTCACCTAACTGTTGTTTGTATCAGCTAAGCCCGCCAAGAGGTTTAATATCCCAATAATAAAATTGGCTTAGGGCAAAATTTTTGGCTGAAATCGTATGATAGTCCAGCCCACTCCCCATATAACGGTTTTGTTAAAAACTACTAAAAGCGGGATAAATCAATAACTCGATACCTCGGAGACATTAAATTTTACACCCAAGATGGTACAAGAGGGCTTTATGGGAGCTGTCAAAATAAGACGATGAGTGATGAAATTAGATATGTAATATCTTGAAATTTCTATGTTGCAGTGCAAAAATGAGCGAAATCGGACTTTAACCACGCCTACTTCCCATATAACATAATTTTAAATTACAGCTTCTCGTAGCTGCCATACACCTAATACAAAGATTTCCGAAATTCCGTTTCACTTTATACCGCAAATATCGACCAATATTCAATTATCTTCGTGAAAACGAGAGAGTAACAATGTACAAGTATATTTGTGCTTAAAATGGATAACATAGGGTGAAAGCTTGCACTAGTCCCATATAACTGATATTAAGGATTTTGAAACATCCGGCTAAATTTACCGCATATAATTGGTAATGGTAAGTACACCTTAATGAAACTCAGGGAGTACATTATTAGTATGGAGCATATTAATACTACGTGATATTGCCAAAAATAGATAAAATCGGGTCCATTCCTTAGACTCCATATGCCAAATATAAAACTTTCTTTCTCTGCCCCCAATATATGTAACATATATAATGATTTCCGACTTTCCACCTGACTTTAAACCGTACAGGTTAGTCATAATGCAATATTTTAAGGAAATTATTTGAACAAGTTTCCTTGAAAAGTATGTGGTTTACCACTGAATATGAATGGAATTGATCTAGATCTTGGTCTAAACCTCATATCCCTAATATAAAGCATTTTGATGTTCTTGTTGACGATTTCCACATCAACTTATTATATTAAATTTAGCCTCCACAGTTGAGCCTTTATCTCATATTTCTCATTTAAGAAAGATTTTAATAGAGTTTTCCTTGTCGCGATTAAAATATATATATATACAGAAACATTCAGTAGATTTTATCCCATATATTTTGGGGAGCATTTTATTCTGTTAGTAGTATGTAATAATGTCAAAAATAGTAAAAATTGGATCAATACTACCCCTGTCACTCATATACCTAATATAGGATCGTCAAACCTCCGGTTGGCCTTATGCCATATATGTATGTCAGTCAATATGTAAGATATCTTAGTAAAATTAACTGAACGCATAATATTGGATAAACTATAGTTTAATGCCGAAATTATGTGGATGCAGTCTACGAAAGTTTCCAAATCCCAAATACTACGTATACAATTCCAGAAGTATACCTCAACAATGCCAAAATTCACTCAAAGAATTAACTCAGAAAGGGGGGCTCTTTCTTTGTTACTAATATAGCCTATATCAAAATTTCCGAATTTTACCTGACAAAATATGTGATACTTTAATAAAATTATTTAATCAAGTTTACGTAAAAAATTGTGTAGGAAATAAAATATAGTACATAATATTCCTCTCATATTTCTCTGTTATAGTGCGAAAATCAGCGAAATCGGATTACAACCACGCCCACTTCCCATATAACATCATTTTAAATTCCATCTAAATATTTCACTTTCCACTATGCAAATCAAGCCACAATGATTGTATCGGGATAACTTTGCGTGAGTAATGCGTTTAAAGTATGCCCTCTTGTGCCTATAGTTAACTTTTTACCGAAAATATCGGTCAATGTGTGAGATTATAATTGAAATTCGGAAAGAATTCACACCGAAACTTTTATATAACGAGGGGTTAACATCCGATTCATCACACTATCGTAGGAAGGGTTGTAAAGATTTGTCCTGTGCAAATTTGTGTGATATAGCTTTATTGGTTTGGGCGATATACACATTAAACTTATTAGGGGGCGGGGCCACGACCACTTTTAAATGATATTTAAACCGCAGGTGCCCCTCCTTAATGTGATCTGTTGTGCCAAATGTGAGTTCTTTATCTAAATTTACGCTTTAGTTATGGAACTATATACATTTTCGAATAATGGCGTTTTGTGGGCGTGGCATTGGTCCAAATATTTTTTGACAAGGTATATGTCTACCAAATTTCATCAAGATATCTTAATTTTTACTCAAGTTAGACAGACGGACGGACGGACAGACAATCACCTGGATTTCAACTCGCATCGTCATCCTGATCATTTACAGATATATATACTGTATCTATCTCGATTAGCTGAACAAAAGTATTATACACCGTAGCAACATTTTAAAACCCACCATCTAAGAACTTTCGTAAAGATATACAATTGTGAATTTCAAAAAAATTCTCCGAAAGCTTTAAGTTGATTCGGCAACAATTTCGGAGATACAATCGTATTGGTAAAATAATTTTAACTAGTGCAATCCAAAGCTCCCAAGCCTTTAACACGTTTTTACCAAAATGCTGTTTTCAGAGTCGGTTAGGAAAATTTCTCCGAAACGGTTCGAGCGATCGACTTGAAACTTATATCTATTTGCCAGGTCATGATGGCGGAAATTTTTAACAATAATTACGATTTCTTTAGTTTAAGAGCTACTTTTTATGGAAAGCCGCCATTTTTTCAAAAACAAAATCAATTGACTAGTCCTGTTTGCAATTTCAGATAATTTTAACTAAATCTTGCCCACCGCCAATCACCAACTATTGGAGTCCTCTTAGTGATTGGCTAGGGAATAAGAGAATCCATTTTCAAAAAGGAACCGTCGAATATTAAAGTACATTAACTTATTTTGACCCATTTGTCAAATAAAATGCTTCTTTACAAAAACGCATTTTTTTATTTGCAAGTGGATATAACCCCTTAAAGCATCAATAAAGCAAACTTTCCCTGAAGTTATAATGGCAGCAATCTATTTATCTTATGAAACTTCTCAAATAATTTATCATTAAACAAATTTTCAAAGCTAGAAATCGAGGATTTAGGATACCGAATATATATAGATATAAATTGATTCATGAGTTTTCCACAGCAATAGGTATGAGTATTTCTATTTTCATTTATTTAATAAGAAAAAGAAATATTTAACTATTTAAATAATTTGAACTTAACACATTAATTTGTCTTTGATTAGATCACTTACAACTTTTCGCACAATCTTCTTTGATTAACACATTGGTGACGATCTAATGGTATGGACGGAGTCGGAGGGCCTTTGGATTAAAAAATGTATACACATATGCCCGCCTCAGACATCGGAAATATCCATACACATTGAAATATATACAAAATATAGATTTATTGTGCATTTTATTTAAATATACTAAATAAATGTTAAAAATTACTTTGCACAGTCACAGTTTCAAAAAATGTGTGCGTTCACATTCACAACAAATACCAGTGTTGCCACATATTGTGTTATGAAAAAATGATCAACAAATTTATCAACTTTAGAGATATAAGGAGACAATGTTTCAAAATTAACACTTGTATCATACATTTGGATTTTATATTATACATATATTATTTAATAAATAGGAAAAAAAATATTAAACAATAATTATTACCAATGGAAACTCTAATATTTTAGCCTTCTAACTATTTAGAGGATTTCCAACGAATGTATACATTTCTATAAATATTTCCGTTAAGTTTTTTCTTCTCTTTTTTGATTTCTTAACAGCGAAGTAAATAAATGTTGTTTTGTGATTTCTTGTGACTTTTTCTGATTTTTCCATTGATAATAATTTTAAAATGGCTAATGCAATGCCTCATCCAAATTTACATCCAAAGCTTGCTAATTTCTCGACGTTTTCGTCTTTTGGAACGCTTATTGAATCGAGCGAGCAAGTTTTTTGAGGAAGTGGGATTAATTCCATGGAAATCGATCGAAATACGTGCCATTTAGCTCCCAAGAAAGTTTTAGCAATAATCTGCTGTTTTGTGACGAAAATGAATGTGACGACAGTGCATACACATTTGACTAACTGGCGGAAGCAAAACGATGAGTATGTTTTGAGTTGTACTACTGTAGTTGAATACTACAGTAACCTGAGGTAATATGTTCCAACTCAGAGTTTTGTCTCGGCGGTGTGGGAAAAACGTTCAAATTGATGAAACTTTTTTAACAAAAGGTAAATAAAATCGCGTGCGTTCAACCGGATAAAAGACCATAACGGTATTGGGCATATTGCGTAAGGAGAAAAAAATCTGTCGCCTTTGCCACGTGAACGGAAATCGTAAGGCATTTGTGGCCTTATATTAAAAGGTTTATACATCACGAATCTGTACTGATGGTGGAAAACAGTACCACGGTTACAGCAACTTTTCGGTGACACTACTGCATGTTTAACCACCAATCACAGCATTAGGGAGTAAGTGTATCGAGGGAATCTCGGCAATATGATTAATGATCTCACATGTCAAAATCGTTGGTTTAAGAATGGAATAAGGAGCCGTCGGAGTCCGAAACTTCTTCACCAATACCTGGCATTGTGATTATCGTCAAAACTTTTTATAAAAGCAGTATGGAGACGATCCAGGTTTATCCAATTTATGTAGATGAAACTTTTCAGGTAGGAATGGAGTTAAAGGAGCCAGTCCCTACAGTGGAATCTGAGGATTTTGCTGATACTGTTCCTCCATAAAAACGTCTGCGCCAAACAACTACACAGAATCTACTGGATGACATGCATTATGCATTAACTAATGAAGAAAATTACGACACAGTTGAAATTGACGACCCTGAGTTTAATGTTAACGATTTTCGTTGACTTTTATGTAACACTGACTTTTGTGTTATTTACAATATATAATATATACCCAGATACATCACAATAAATAAAATCAATTTATTACAGACAGTGCAAAAACTGTCAGTTCAGTTGATTAACACAGGTATTCGTTTGATGAGGGTTATTATTTTGAAGCGCGGTCGAAGGCCACTAGTTCAGAATAGAATTAGACGCGAAATAATATATAACTTATCCCTATTTTTTTTTAAATATATATGGAATATAATTAATGAAACAAAATTAATTTGAATCATTGTCCTTTTATATGGTAAACAGAAAATTGTTTGATTATTTTTTCACAACACCATATGTTGCACAACTGGTATTTGTAATGGGAATATAAAACACAAATTTCTTGAAACTGTGAGTGTACATTACTTTACAATTGACTAAATCTGAGCAAATATGAAGTAAGTGTTGAGATTTCCACAGACCTGCATTGATGCTGTTGTGATTGTTGTATGTGATCCAGCACATGGAGAAGGCGCCCGTTGTGTGTGTTCACTCTCATATTGCATTTCGAAGAGTAATGCATGCACTCGCTACATGAATTACGGTAGTTGTTGCTTCTCCTTGAATGTTATTTTGTTTACAAATTTTGTGAATTAGCAGAGATTACGGCTATTGAGGTGTCAAATAAAAGAGCTCTCTACAGCGTTGCTTACCAATAAGGTTACCAGTTGCGATTTTTATATACTCTGAAAATACTCTAAAATGTTTATTGCATATACCATAAAATGTAATAACTAGATAGATATGTATGTATATGTAGGTGCTTTGTAAAAGGAATATATTACACAATATTGATTAAATGAACTTTTTGTTTAAAAAATACTTAAATTTCTATGTTATCAAAAATTAAATAACAAAGAAAAAAAAACCAAAAAAAAATTTAAGTTATGACCTTTAATACTATTTTTCAAACTTTCGAGAATTTATTTCTTACTTGTTTTGCATAAATTAAAGATAATAAAACAAATACAATTTGTAAATAACAACTTCAACAAAAAGTGTTTGTTGAGTGACCACCGAAAATTAAAGGATGGGATAAAAATCGCAAAAAGCATATACACCTGGTAGACCAGGGTAGATTATTTTTAACAGCAAATCACAGTAGGTGATTTACCCCTTGGTAAAGAAAGATAAAATAACCAACCTAAAAGGAATACTTATTTACGGGCGATCTGTGGTCGGGAGGGGGTGGTTCGACAAAACTACGAAAAAACCAAGACAAAACTATTGAGAAAAGTTATGTGGCAAAGTTGTAGATAATGAAAATATATACAACGTTTGTATTTACACCCTTTTACATAACATCAAAATTTATATGAAAAATCTTATACAAAAACAATAATCTTTTCACGAAATTTTATGTAAACTTACCTTCTTATGTCCCAAATGCACTATATTTTTTTAATTTAAAAGATAATTTTTCTTAAAATCGTATCACTATAGCACATAGTGTCCACACATACTGAACGTTCGGATTCAAGGGCTTGCATGGAAAACTTTTAAATTTGACGTGGGTTATTGCCTAAGCCAATAATGCAATCTCCGAAGAAATTGTTCAGATCAGATCACTATATTATATTGCTGCCTTAAAAATTGAACGATCGGAAACAAGTTCTGTGAAGGCTACCATAGCTGCGGTTGCTTTTGGCAAGGTAGTCTAACTGGACACTGATCAGTTGGCTGACATGCGGAAAGCCACATGCCTTGTCGGATGAAAATTGCCAAAGCTAGCGAAGTGGCTGGAATTGGTATAAGCCAATTGTGGTAAACTCAAAACGCTTAGGCGATCCAGGTATGGGGATTAATATCAAGGAGTCAAATAAGATCTATTGTTAGTTTTGGTTTGGTGTGAGGATAAGCCCTACGACCGAACCTAACTTTGGGCTAAATATTAATTTGAGTTTGAATATAATTTAACTTCATTTTTAAAGTCATCAAATGGTTTGTAAGATCTAAACTTTCAGATAAAAGTTAGCTATATTACATTTCTACAAAGAGTTTTCGAGAGGTATCTATAAGATGCATATACATATATACATTTACTTAGTATGTGGGTAGCCTTTTTATCGAAATAAAATATTCTATATTTCTACGATCTGAGCGGGTTTGATATTGTTGTTTTACTTATACTCTAATAATATATGTTTGTTTTTATTGTGTCTGCAGTCGTGAAGGAAATAAAAATACTTAAAAATTAATGCCATCAAATTAAATTCCACTCGAAGAATCATATAAGCAAAAATCAACAACAATAAGAGCGAAGCACTAAAACTTAATACCCCCAGCATATAGCAGCATAGAACTACTGATAATGGCTCGTAAAGGCAAACATTTATGCGACATTTGGAGCAACGCGTTTCTAAAGCAATCAACAGAAAAAAAAACTACAACACCAACAAGCAACGAGTTACTCACTTGCCGCGTCAACGATATACATTTAGAAATAAGTATGTACCATATAACATATATGTTTATCGTTTATATATAATATATATAACATACATATGTATCTACAACTTTGCCACAATACTATATGTACCACGTCAAAGTCAAATCACTGCCACGGCAGCAACAGCACGTTTGAATGTCGCCGTGGTTTAAGATGCTCCCGAAGGGCATCCGCTCAGCAGCAGGGTGGCACATATTTAGTGTGTTAAGGTTGCTAAAACCGGGTCAGGGAAGTTGCGAATGCGCGCCATGAACATAACACTTTAAAGCACATCCGCACATACAGGCATTCAAACACTGTTACGCGTTAAATTTAACAGAAATTCATAGAAGCGATTGCCATGTGAGGTGGGTAATGTGCTCATAGCATTCAAACGGCAAATAGCATCAAGCAAGCGCCATTATGTGTGTGCAAAAAGGCGTGTGTGTAGGTATGTGCGGATGTATTGCGGGTATTAAAAAACACTTGATAGCGATTTCGGGCAAATAAAAAAAATGGCAAAGACTCGCTTTCGCATTACACAAATCCCAGCGTATTTAAGCGGCACACGAGCTTAGAAATATAAATTTCATTTCTATGCAGATATATGGGTTCCGATGTGCATTCTTTTGTCAAGGAAAACAAATGTTTCTTACACCGTTTAAGAATCTCAATTAGAAATGTTTATGTTGCCTTTTTATTTTTCAAAGGCAAAGTGTATTAAATGTAGTAGATTTGTTTATGAAACGTTTACCTTTTAATTTTGTTCATTTAATTAAAACAGGTCCAGTTATCGGGAATATACTAGTTTAAAACAAAATTTCAAATATGCTTCTATTTGCAGTCACAGCGACCTTTCTTGAAGATTCGACTGGAGAAAAACCGTTTAACAAGAACATACCGAAAAGTTTCAAATTTCTCAAACATCAACGATAGCATTTCGAAAACGTTCAGCGTTTTTATAGCCGCATATTCATCACTTTCTTGTGGTTGATCTACCAGTGATAAATTATTTACAATCTTATCATGGACATTAATTTGAAAAAACGTTCTTTTTGATACCGAATTCCTATTGCAATTTGTCAAAAATTGTAATACAGCTTCCAACAACGGATCTATTACTCTTAATCCTTTAGCTTTTAGAAGTTTCAATTGCTCAATGAACTCTTAAGGGTTTTATTTTCTACCAGAGGACTTCCGAACGGTAAGAAAAGGTCAAGCAAGTACTAAAAACTCATTACCCAAGTATGAATACAGAACATCTCTCAACTTATAAAAAGAGAAGTGGTTTAATTAAACCACTGTAAAATTGAAACTTTTTTCACATTATAGCCATTAAATCAAAAATGGCTTCATTAGTCTTAATTTTTTACATGGAAAATTAGAATGATAATGGGAAAGGATAAAAGTAGACTAGGTCTAAAATTAATATTACTCTGTGCCTTAGAGTGAGACATATTGTACATAATACTTAACTTTATAATATAAAATTAAATAATAGTTTAAAATTAGTTTAAGCAACACTGTTAGGCAAAGCTCAATAACAATACTGACTAAATATTAGAATATTTTTGAAATGAACGGACGTATTTTTACAAAAGTGATTTTTTTTATACTCTCGCAACTTGTTGCTACAGAGTATAATAGTTTTGTTCACCTAACGCTTGTTTTTATCACCTAAAACTAATTAAGTTAGATATAAGGTTATATATACTTGTATATATAAATGATAAAGAGACGAGTTGAAATCCGGGTGACTGTCCGTCCGTCCGTCCGTCCGTCTGTACAAGCTGTAACTTGACTAAAACTAGATATATCTTTATGAAACTTGCTACCCATGTTTCTTGGTACCGTGAGACGGTTGGTATTGCATATGGGCGTAATCGGACCACTGCCCACAAAACGCCATTAATCAAAAATTAACAAATTGCCATAAATAAGCTCTAAAATAAGACACAAGACTCTTATTTGGTATACAGGATCACATTAGGGAGGGGCATCTGCAGTCACAATTTTTTTTAAAGTGGGCGTGGTCCCGCACCCTACTAAGTTTAATGTTCATATCTCCTTTACCACTGAAGCTATAATAACAAAACTCACTGAGAACAAATGTAATGTTTGTAGCATCTCTGTCGACGGTGTGAAAATGGGTGAAATCGGGTGACAACCCCGCCCACTCCCCATATAACGATACTGTTAAAAACTACTAAAAGCGCGATAAATCAAGCACTAAACAAGCTAGAGATATTTAATTTTATCTCTGGGATGATATAAGAAGATTTTATAGGAACCACGCTCAAAATTAGACAGTGGCCATGGCACCGCCCACTTTTAGGTGAAAACCCATATCGTGGGATTTGCTTAATCGATTTTAACCAAATTCGGTACATAATATTCTTCTCATGTTTCTATGTTATAGTGCGAAAATGGGCGAAATCGGATTACAACCACGCCTATTTTCCATATAACATCATTTCAAATTTCATCTGATTTTTTCACTTTCCAGTATGCAAATCAAGCAACAATGATTATATCGGCGTAAAACTTTGCGTGAATAATACATTTAAAGTACCTTGTGACCAGAAATTCTCTAAATCGGACCAAAACTGTTTAAGCGCCTAGGTACTGAATATGTATATATGTGCCTATAGTTGACTTTTTACGGAATATATCGGTCAACTTAGAACAAGGCGGCAAAATCCACAAAGAAATCTAAAACGGTATACTCGTTTTTTTGACTTTGCGATAGTATAAAATGTTCGGTTACATCCGAACTTGGCCCTTCCTTACTTGTTTATTAATGGCGTTTGGTGGGCGTGGTAGTGGTCCGATTACGCCCATCTGCAATACCAACCGTCTTACGGTACCAAGAAACATGGGTACCAAGTTTCATAAAGATATAACTTCATAGTTTAACTCAAGTTACCGCTTGCACGAAAGGACGGCCGGTCAGACGAAAAGACAGACGAACAGACAGTCACCCGGTTTTTAACTCGTCTCTTCATCCTGATCATTTATATATTATATATATACCACTATATCTAACTCGATTACTTTTAGGTTATATAAACAACCGTTAGGTGAACAAAACTATTATACTCTGTAGCAACATGTTACAAGAGTATAATAATTTACACAAAACAAATGTTTGAATGCAAATTTTGGATGGAATGAGCCATACATAAATATACACTTGAAATTTTTAAACAACTGCAACAGTAGTCGTACAAATCGCCATTTTTAGGCCGTCACACTAAATGTGCGCCTTAATTTCTATACAGAATTCTGAAGATTTCGTTTGATGCCATTGATTAAAACTAATATTTTTCCACCCTCAATCAACGCCCGACAAAGTTTTAGAATCTGTAAAAAATCCTTTCACCGAAAGCAGTAATTATTTATTGTCAATAAAATTAATCTTTTTTTCAAACAATGTTAAATTACTGGTGAATCTAAATCTTTATTATATACAGTAATGCCAAGGGTCTAAATATTTTTAATTATTTCATGTTATTCCATATCTAAGAGTTGAAAAAAGCACTAAAAGAGCACTAGGGACTAAACCACTCTCTTGGCGTTTGCAACTATTGTATACCAACAGTGAACTTGCCGATAATAAACAACAAAGTCTCCCTCCGTTGAACACGTTCCATAATATGGAATATATGGAATCCATATAAGTATGTATACCATAAACTATATATATACTTAAGTATAATGCTCATGCAAGAGTTTACATTTGAGTCATGCAAGTAGCGCTACCCAAACACCAAGCCACCAATACTAAGCCAACTATTGTCGCTCATATGATTTGAGAACACACGAAAGATCCGTTAGCGCGCTTCACTCGAACGAAGGCGAAATCAGAGCAGCGCTTTAGTTCTAATCGGTAGTTCTTACACAATAGTTTGGAAAGCGACGTCTTTCTGAATAAAGTGTGTAGAAAAAGCTATAAAAAATTGTGATCTGAATATGGCCACTAATAAGCATCCGTATGCTGGCATAATTGAATTGCCATGCGAAATGAGCAATGCGTCGGCACCGCCACCAGCCTACATGCAAACTGACCATGTAACTTCAGCGCAGCCGAGCAGCAGCGGTGTACAGATGACAGGTGAGCCTCAGATGCCTAACTTTTCGACTATACCCCTGAATCCAAATCCGCCGGTGGGGCCAGAATCTACACAAATACGGTGTCCACAATGTAAATGCACAGTGAAGACGACTGTTAGATATCGGTCGACCACAAAAACTCATTTGGCTTGTATACTGCTTTCGTGGACTTGGTAAGCATCTTATTGGAATATTTACGCTTTTATATGTACATACGTAATTTGGATATATATATACATATGTAATTGTTATATATTTTTATACAGTTGTTGTTGCTGTTTGCCGTACTGTATGAACTCATGCCGAAATGCGAATCATTTCTGCCCCATGTGTGGCACATTCATAGGCACCTATCAATCTTAAGTGCGCATAAAGAGTGCAGAAAAGGAGAGCTTACCAGTAAAACGTATTATCAACATGCTTATATGAGTACGTTTGTGAACATTTTATTATAAATAAACAGTCATATATTCATTCCGTATGTATTCCTATATGTAAGTTCTTTTTATATTGCTAATTCCAACTAGACTTGTTTCAAGAAATTAAATATCCAAAATTTTATTTACCTGTAGTCAGCATTTTCCATTCGATTTCAGCTTCAGAAACTTGAAATCAAAAAATATTTAATGTTTCAAAATCTGACAAAATGGCAGCGATTTAGAATAAATTTTAACCTGGTTCTCAAGCTAAAAAAAGACTAAAAAATCTAAAAGTTTTTTTTTTTTTTAAATCAGATGTGCTTTCGATAAAATGCTGTATAAGGCATTTCATTAGTTCTGTCTACATTAGAAATATGCAAAAAAGTATTGATTTTTTCAAAAATCGGTTCACGAAGGTAGACAACCCCCTTAACACTAGTATTACACATCTATAATTGCGAATGCACAGCTGTCATTTCGACAACAGAATACCAAACTGTACCTGTGAATACCGTCCATTTACCGCAGAGAATTGTGTGTATTATAAAATACTATCAAGACTTATTATTGTAGGAAGGCCTGTCAAAATCAGGACCAAAACAGTTCTGCAAAATAGTGGACATCTCAAAAACTGACGAAAAAGTTTTCATAATCCCTAGATGATAAACTTCGTCTTAAAAATCGCTTGCTCGAAACCTTAGCCTCATAAGCAAAGTTGTTCAGAATGATCCGTGGAACATTTTCCGCATACGCGATTTTATAGAAAAAAAAATCGACCCGCTTTAATATGCACACATATATGGTAATTCTATATTTCTCCCATATCCCATTTGTGATACGTATGTGTGTATGCATGCTATATAAATAAACCTACATTTGTTTATTATTTGTATTGTGTTTATATTGCTATAATTTTTGTGTATTTACACTGGCCAGTCGTAGATGTGTAGCAATGAAGTGTTTGAGAGACTCTGCTTTGGAATCATATTACCAAGAGGCACTTATGTATGTATGCATTAGTATTTACTATAAGTTAGATTCCTTTCTCGTTGCAATTATTCTAGCTCAACTGGTCAGCCGACTGTTAGAAAAGCATCAATTGTATACTAGTCCTAACTACATACCTACATATAACTCAAAAATCGTAAACGATTTGAAAAAAATTCGAAAGACCCAAAATCTAAGTCACATCTGAATATTTCTTGCCGCCACTATTCCCTAGTACATTCTCACAGACGGCTGCTATCACAATTGCAGGCGAATCGAAATCAGGGTTTTGGTTTGATCGCTAGTCCGCGGATTTTAGAAAAGGAAAAAAAGCAATATCGTGCCTCGCTTCTTGTTTTTGGAAGATACATACCTCATTAAAGCAATACAACCTCTTGCTCTCCGCATGTGATTTGAACTTTCTATTGAATCTTTAACAGTTAGATGTTTGTATCGCTACTCTCTAAGGCTTAGCGAGTTATAATCGTGCAAAAATTTTGAGACAATATGGATCATTGGAGTTCATTGCTCAAGTTTTAAATATGGAATATACTTTGATCCGCCCGAGGTATATCTTTGATGCATTTATATTGGACGGGCCATTCAAACCGTGCAGCAACAACAGCCAAATGTGAAACTACATACATATGTATGCATAAACATAGGTGTGTATATAGTTCTTGCAAGGTTTCCATTAACAGGCGTCACTCAAACGAAGTCGAAAGCCATAGCTGTGCATTAGTTGTGATCGGTAGTTCACACACGGCCATTGTATAAGCCTACCTTGTAGATTTATACAATGGTTGTTATAAAGCTTGTGCTACTGGAGGGCGTCGCTTATTCTGGATAAAGTTTCATTAAGTGCTAAATAAAAACAAATAAATAAATAACTGTGAATGTGACCAAAATTAGGCAACTGTATGCTGGCCTACAAATTGATGGCGATATGCGCAATGAGATGTCTAGTATTCCGAAAGTATTCGCCAATCCAAATCCGCCGGTGGGTCCACAATCTGCACAACTACGATGTCCGCAATGCGAGTGCACCGTGAAGACGACTGTTAGATATCGTTCGACCATAAAAAAGCATTTGGAGTGTATACTGCTTTCATGGTATATGAGTATGTACGTTTATAATCATTTATTAATTTTATACACCTGTTGCTGCTGTTTGCCATACTTTCATAGTAAACATGCCAAATGCAAACGATTTCTGCCCCACGTGTGACACATTCATAGGCACCTATCAGTCTTAAGTGGAGCAAAATGAGTGGAGGAGAGCTTATTTGTATATAAAAATATGTATTAGTATTATATAAAAATTTTTGTAAACATACATGTATATCGTCCAATACATATAAATAAATAAACGATTATGGGTCAACACTATACATATGTGTTTTGATGTATGTATTACTTATATTATTGGGAAATTAATAATCGGTAATATTTGTGAATACATTGTGCATTATATAATATATGAACCTACATATAAAAAATACAGATTTTCTTTAAAGATATTATATGTTATTAAACTCAAGGATACGCAAAATACCATAGACGATAAAGTAAAGTCATTGTAAAAAAATTATTTTTCCGATTTTGTGATTCTTACTATGAATACCCTTCGAGGAAAATTGGCAAAAAATTTCGAAAAACACCTGATAGAGCCTGGCCCCAAGTGGGCGTGTTTAAGTGTTTATGAGACTCATTGTGCTCCCAAATGCGATTTAAATAAGCACCATTCAACAACTCCCTTGAATTAAAAAATTCGTAATCGTAATATATGTTGCTACAGAGTCTTGTTCACCTAACGGCTATTTGTATCACCGAAAACTAATCAAGATTGGTAGTAGGTTTTAAAATATAAAAGTATATATATATGATCGATATTTTGATGAAACTTAAAACTTAATACTGAACACAAAACGCCATTAATCGAAAACGTATAAAGCGCCATAACTAAGCTGTAAATTAGGATACAGAACTCAAATTTAGCACAGTAAATTACATTAAAAAGAGAAACTTGTAGTTTGCACAAGACAAATGTTTTCAACCCTTCTTATGACAGTGTGAAATTAGGTGAAATCGGGTGATAACCCTGCCCACTACCCATATATCGGTTTTGTTAAAAATTACTAAAAGTGCGATAAAGCAATAACTAAAAGAGTCAGAGACATTAAATTTTACATCCGGATGGAACGAGAGGGTTTTATAGGAGCCGGTGTCAAATATGGACCATGGACGTGGTACCGTCCACTTTTAGGTTATTTCACTTCGTCAACAATTTTTGGGAATTTCCGAGCTTTGATTGTTGCAAAAGTATAAAATGTTGGGTAACATCCGACGTTAAGCCTTCCTAACTTGTTTAGAATATTTTGGTGATATAATGTGATAAGTAGTACTTCCTTAACTCGCGCGCATTTAAAATGAGATGAGAGACACATCAGTTTCCGAACCACTGCTTATCTGACCGTTCGCCCGTCCGAGCAAGCAATAACTTATGTTAAAATTTACAAAACTGAGAAAGTTGGTATTCCAAGAAGACAAATTTGATTATTGCCCCGTCAACGAATTGTCGTTAACTTAGTAAACGAAGAAGAAGATTAAGCTCAAAATTTAAATTTTCTCTCTGGAAAACTTAATATTTATATCAACTACTTAACGGAACATTTCATCTAGCATTTTCTGGAATAATGTGAAACTGGAAAATATTATACAAAAAACAGATTAAATCTATCTAGATCTTGCTTTAGCAACCAAGATTTTAACATAATTTTTGAATATTTCTGTAGAAAATAGATCATAATGAACTACCAAAAACTGTTTCAGTTTTTCCATGATCAGGTACTCGTTCATATCCCTTTTCAAACCATCAAAATTATAGTGAATAGACCCAAACTAGGGGGTTAACTTCAACAGGACTACTATTCCGAACTACTATAGGATTGATGTACTTCCGGCCGAACTCAGGCCATTCACACATCGTTTAACACAGCCACGGAAGCAAGTCCTCATTCTAGTATGATGAAAGACTTTTAGACTAGCTAATTGGCTTTGAGATTCATACTAGTTTTACATTATAGAGTGAGCAACCCTACGAGTATATACAAACACATCCTATCCAATTGAAATACTCCCAATCGTTGTATCCTTTTTCGATGAATTGAATTCACGTTTACATACTTACAATCATCCACAATTTTTGGGTTATATTCACACATTACCTTTTATTATTTTCACAACTTTTCAAATGGCGACTCGTAAGAGAGACATGTCTAGTATACATGAATATTTCCACACCATCTACCATAAGTGTTATATGCGCAGATAAGGTGACACATAAATGCCAGGACAATTCCCTTTTTGACAAGCCGCAAATGCTTTCACATATACTCGTACGTACATTTGTATGTATGTCTGCTCGTTTTAAGCGCACTTACAAATGGTCCGTATAGCCTTGCCTTTTTGTGGTCGAGGGCCGAGTAGGCTGGCGAAGCAATAAAATGTTTACTGATGCGTTACAAATATGTTTTCAATAATTTTTTTACTTTCATATGTCGTACATTTGGCGTTTCCATTATAAAAATACTGAATATAGTATTTCACCCACTGAGCCAAAACAGAGTTAGAAAAAAGATATACTGAAACAAAGAAGTTTTAAAAACTGTTAAAAAATATTTACTTTGTTTTAGAAGTGAAAAGAGAAAGAAACATGTACGGCCTTTCATAAGCTTACCTTTCATCAAGCTTTCACTGTTTGCAAGCCAGAAAGCTCGATGACAAAAGCTTTCCAACAAAGATGTTATTCATGCTATTCCAAACTCAAAAATCGCTGATCATAAAGTACATAGTCCTGCCATAAATTGTGTTAAAAAGTTTACAATGCATACTCCGAGGACAAACTCACAGAAAAAAATGCCATTATTTGTATACACTTGCAACATATTGTCGAGACAGATATGAGGTTATATACAAGTATGAACAATATAAATAATCAGAATGACGATAGGAGTTGAAATTCGGGTGACTGTCAGTCTGTCCGTCCGTCTGTTCGGGCAAGCTGTAGTATCAGTGCTTGTGTATCT